GTGTATTCTGACAATAAGGTTATTACAGGTCTACAAGGAACATCGTACACAATATATTATCNTAAAAGTATGAGTTGAGTAAAAATGTAGGTACTACATCGGGTACCGAGTATGAGCCGGGTAAAAATTTAATATTACGATGGGTACCGGTATTATCCTGATCTTAACTTAAATTCATGTACTATTATTGAAACAGAAATGGCGGAAACATTTGACTCTCTAAATGATGTAACAGGAATTGGACTGGACGGTTTATAATCTATATTTTTAAAATTCTATCTCTCTATACTTATCAAACCTCTGCTTCACTTATTCACTCTATCGCTCTTTATCGGAGTGTTCCCAAAGTATTGGAAAAAAATCGTATATTACACCTACCTTTAAATTCGGTGATAAACATAGTATTAAAAACTATATACCTATCTCTAAATTATCAATTATACCAAAAGCGTTTTAAGTGATAAACACTAAAAAGCTATCTAACTTACATTCTAAAAATATAACTATCCACTAACACGATTTCCTTTCAAGACACTATACAAATGTATTATTCCAAAACTTCCTAACAACAGTGGAAACAGGACCTCCTTTAATTTTTGCGGGGCCCAGGGCAAACCTCTTAAATTTCATTTTTCTAAATATAAAGATTTCACTTCAAAAAGTTATAATTAAAAAATACCTACTAAGTAAATAGATAATGAATAATTGGATTAAATTTGTACAATCATAGATAGTACAGTCCGTGTCAGATAAATTGCACATAAATTATTTAAATTGTATATTATGCAAAACTTAACAAAAAAGAAATTATAATATATATATATATATATATACATATGTACATACCTTCAATTTTCGTACCTATGACGTTGATATTGAAGTAAAGTAAACAATGTCAGCTCTTTCGAAGAACATGAACTAAACAATAACTATACACTCAAACAATCTAGCTTAGGTTATCAAAAACCTTGTCAGAGCCTATTAGAATATTAAAATACACAAATACAATTATTGCGTTGGTGCAGCGGCGTTAATCAGTAATATTGTCGCTCAAAAGTAGCCACAATGTGTAGCTAGGCCACGCCACGAGAGTTGTCTATTATAAGTTTACAAAAATAAACGCTGAGAGTCAACAAGTAAAAAAATAATAGGTATCCAAAATCTAAAATAGACCAGTCGTTATCACGATGGTCGTTGGTCGATAACGCGACCGCGTAACGCTGTTTTTGTCAATATGAAATGCACAACTGCTCAGTGATACAATAATAATAATTATAATATTTATAAACAATTATTCTAGTAGTATATTTATTTCTGATTTTTTATAATGTTCCAAAATATTCGTAAAATATAAATGATTAAATCATTTTGTATATTTAGATACGAACTTTTATTTTTTTTTTTTTAGTATGCGCAGGGCCCTACTAAGCGCGGGACTCAGGGTGCAGGCACCGCTTGCTCGTACTTAGAGGCAAAATCTGAGTGGAAAAAATTTTTTTTTTTTTTTTCAAAATATTTTGTTTTAACTACCCAATAAGATAGTAAAACTAGTAAAACCGCGAGTTGAATTGTATACAATTGTAGAAGTTATGGATATTGTTGGTTTTGATGTACCAGGGATTAAAATTAAAATAAAAAATTTAAAATCAACTTATCAACTTATTTCCAATAACGATATTATAACGTTTAAACATTTTCTTTAAAACAAAGACGGAGGTCCATCGTGACGTTTGGTTCGTTACTGCTTGCTTGCTACTTAAACTGTAAACATGGCACGTGTGAACGATTCGAGATAGTAGGACTACGAGTAGTAGTGCGAGTGACAATTAGTATTAATGACAAGTACTTCACATCGTGTAAACTCGGCATTAAAATAAATCCTCGGAAAATACCTTATTGCGTAATTATTTAATATTTTTATTCTAACACTTACTTGATTAAAATCACGTTTGACGCTTTCGAATTGTCTGTATTCAGTTGAGTTGAATATCTAATAATTTATAAACTAAGTGAAGTTGAATATACAATAATTTAGAAATTAAATAATGTTGAATGTATAATAATTTACAAAAATAGTGAAGTTGAATATATAATAATTCAAAAGTTAACTTGAATATCTAATAACAATTTAGAATCGCTTCTATATCATATTATCATAACGGAACTGTCATAGTTTAGAATCATCTATATATTAAAACAGAACTGTAATAATGTAGAATCGTCTATATCAAAATAATGGTAATAATATTTAGTTATTATATGCTGTAACTAGTAACAACGTTTATTTGTAAATTCATTTAGAATTTGAACATAATGTGATAATTCTAAAACAAATGTCTTACAATAATGGAGACGGGTACAGCCACTGTTATAGATAATTTAATGTATACCTGAAAGCAACGATAAACCATTGCTTACGAAAAATCGATTCTGAGCGGAGTTCTGTTGACAGTGATGCTTTGTCAACAAAATTGATGTCATTTTATAATAAAATAATTAAATAGGATTTATAAATTTTCTTTGAATTTCGTTTTCTCCCGGTTTTTCACATTTGCTGGGAAAATTGAAAAATGACCTTTCTTAAGTACCTTGTGAAATTTTCTTTTAGAAACATTGCTATAATTAAAAGTTGGAACGAAATTTCTGGTAGAAAAGTTTTGCACAGAAAAAANGATATTACACGTGGAAATCTAAAAATCCGAGCAAGTCTTCTGGTAGAAAAGTTGCGCAAAGATAAAAAAAAATAAATAAACATCTTTGTGCAACCGTAAGCTTCTTCGCTCCACTCAGAATCTTGAATCAAGGACGTCAAAACGATAGTAAATTATTGCCGTTACCGTGGTGACTTACATGTGGCTTGAAACAACTCCGTCAGAATAATCGTTGGCCGATTGAGTAAATAAGCAAATCAACTGTTGCTTCGTGGATACGGTCCCCGGAAAAGTTATTGAGGGCTCGACAACCGAGTAAATATCCTTGCGGTGCTTTTTATGATTTTGGGAATTTTATTTTGAACTTGTAAAATTTATCGCTGTTACAGCTGCATTCGAGATTTTCGAATTCCATTTTTTCTTTGCTGTAATATTTACAACGTGTATAATGATATAATGTATAATGACCATGCTGGCCTATATCCACAGTATTCTACTGATGATGGTTTGGCTGTACCTTTTTAGGAAGTGGCCGAAAACCGCCACGGCAATATTGCTCACGGTAGTATTACTCAGGTACGCGTGTCTATCCGAAAAATTATTTAACATTATACTGTTTAATTCATTACCCATTTTAATATTGTTAATAGTTATTTTTCAGTGTCGATTTTACGCGCTCCGTACTCATCATAACTGCTCGTCGACGAATAAAGTCACCACTAGCTGTTCTTTAAACTTGTAAAATCTCCGGTGTAAATATATCGCGACTGAGAAATTACATTCGGATTTTAATAGTTCGCTAGTCTATTATACACGCGACTTTATTCGCTGACGAACGGCGAGTGTAAATTCTCCCGATCTGTAATCAATCTATAATATGTTATACAGTTAAAAGTATACAACGTTTAAGTTTCCGAGTCCCGTTGCGTATTCCTGGTGGTTACATACTCCTACTGTGCTTTATCATTAAATTCGGTTGTCATAAAATATTCCACTGGCTTGTTATTACAATTCGTCACTGGAAAGTCCGTTGCCCGTAAACTTAACATAACCACTCCTATTCAAAAGTTCGATGGTATTATAATTAGAAATTATTGTACCTATTCTATTTAAGATTTTTAAATATTTTATTACAGAACCATTTTGCAATTAATTTGCGTGATTGTATTTTGGATTACTACACGATTGTACAACATGATTGACGCATCCGTTAATCCGGTCGACGACGTCACACAGTGGGATTTTGGCGGACGACGACCAAAACACGGACTTGACAAAAAACCATGAAGTGACAACAAAGCCCGGATTGACAACAACGGCCACCATAGTGAACGCGGTCAAATAAGTCAAAGTACCCAAGTTTGCGGAGAGTTAGGGTGCTTTGACGGACGGCGACCAAAATCACTCGGTAGGCCGTAACATTTGCTGCCTGACTAATGACACGGTTGTAAGTACTAATTGTTATTGTGTATAATCGCCGATAAATGTTTAAACAAATTGTATTTATTTTCAGAACCCCGCACTAGTGATTTTAACGGGAGAAAAATGTTTATCTACCAACAGTATGTAAAATGTCACATTTATAATTTATCGCGGTGAATTAATATGTAGTGTTGTTATAATTCAATTCTTATAAAAATATATAGTACAATCGAGACTACGTATTTTATCCGCAACGTTATAATTTAAGAAAAAAACACATTTGGTTATAATTCATTTCGATGTACTATATTTGTTCAGCGAAGAAAACGGCGGTATATTACCGAATAGACGCCCAGAAGTATACCGGCGTCGTCAAGAAGTTCTGCGGAGAAGACACCGAGGTAAATATTATAATTGAATACTTGTAAATCGTGTATTTACAATAATACTCGCGACGAAATGTGTTTAATAAATATTTGTTGTTTTTTCTCGGTAAGACCTCGACCGCAGAACTGAACCGTATCAAAAAGTACTGGATACAACGGCGTTTACTTTTTGTGCTGTTCGACGCCAGCATACTTCTGGACCACGGTACCTATATTCACTGCCTAATAATAATTTATCGTGTTTCGGGTCTTGTGTCCGTTTAAAATTATTATTTGTGTGACTTTTTTTGGTTTTACAGAGAGCTTCTATTCGATATGTCCCGAAGTATTGGCGAAGCATATTGCCGACCGGAGTCGGTTTCCAGACGGGGTCGCCGTTGACCCGTTCAGCGGCGCCGACGAAAAAGCGATTCAGCTAGCCAAATCTTGTCGTAAAGGTAACATACCTACCTACCGTACCTACGCAATATATTATGTTCATTTATAACATTAAATTTTTTTTTTTTCTTTATTAATTTTTGATTTTACATCAGTGATCGCTATGGATATTGATCGAACAAAAATTAAATTGGCCCGGCACAACGCCGGTGTATATGGCTGTGCCGAAAACGTCAGATTTTTATACCGGACCGAGTGGTCAACAGGCAAATGTAGTGGTCACGTCGCCCCCGTAGCTCCCCAGTACCTCCGCCTGGACTCGTACAGCCCGTCGGTCTTGTGCGAGGCTTACGGGGGCGGCGAAGCCATCGTGCGGATTGCGAAATCGATGGCACCGAAGTTGGCCCTACATTTGCCCAGAACGGTTGATAAATCCGAGGTTCGTATACTGTTTTTTGTCTTAAAATTATTCCTAAATGTTCTATTCTGTTTTACTTTACATTCTATAGTAATTGATGATTCGTATACTTATTTGTTTCAGTGCGTAGCAATTGACAAAAAGCTCTGCGTTACTCGAATAAAGAGTAGAAAAATGGTATTATTTTTTTGGAAGAGGAAAATGGTCACTGTCAATTACTACTGTCTAAAAAAAATATTATCTCCAAAATTCGATCAATCCAATTACCTATGTATTTACTTTGTTATCTATATAGTTGTATAATGTAAAATATAATTCCTCGAAAATCGGGTGTACAATTCATTCGACTTTGGATTTTGGGTGTTCCGATAAATCAACCGTTTAGTCTGAATTTGTTTGATTGCATGTAATGATAACAGATACAAATTTAGACTGGAAAAGTAAGAAAATGTAAATTGTTAAAAATCACATTTGATAAATGTTAGTTATAATATCGTGTACATGCATTTTCATTAATTTGCGACATAATTTCCTGAACAATAACGATAATACCCTACGATTTGTCATCCCTACGGCCTAATAGAAATTCAACTTTTATATAGTAAAAATAGGGATTACAGACGATATTTATTTTTAAAATATGAAAATTGCAATTTTATCGTTTGTTTGCGGATTTCTGGTGGTTATACGAGAAAAACTTTGTTATTTTAAAAAGAAAACTTTTTTTTTTTAAATCCTCTAACGACTCAAAATTGTAATTATTTAAAGTTCCACTGTACAGCGATATAGCGTATATGATGAGTACATGTGTAAAAATAAAAATACTTTCGTTTATCCTGCAGGGTCATTTTTAAAACCATACATAGGTACTGAACAATACATATAGGGGAATTTTTTCTTAAAATCATTTTCCGTTAATTTTA